TGTAGCATAAGGCTATCAACAATCATGAAGCCCAGCCAACATTCATGGACCCTTCAGAAAGGCCTCACACTCAGTAAACAGCACAGGTATAGATCTCACTCATTTGTCTGACATCTGACAAAAAAGTTGACAATCTGCATAAGCAATTGATACACTATGCTTCCCTTTAGATTTTCTGTGAAGTGATCCCTGAAGTCAGAGCTAAGCTAAAGCTCTGCGTTATTACATCTTCTATGGCGAACACCGTCTGCTAATTTAACTTTTATGACATTATGTAATATTTAAACAGCATCACAGAAAGTTTCATATTTGAGCATGCTCAGTAAGAGACAGTGATTAGTGAATGTAAATAAAGTTCAGTGTCCAGACAGAGAAGCATTACAGATGGCTGCCATTCATTTCACAGCAGTCATTATCAAAAATTGCAGTCTTTGAGGAGACCCAGACTGAACTGCAGAGAATTAAGATTAATGCATGAAAATACACTCCAAACAGCAAATGTTATTTCCTTCAGTGTGCTCCTTTGACTGTTAAAGCAACATTTGTAGAGTGCCTGTTGCCAGTGCACTGAGACAGAACTGATCAGTCTCTCCCTTCAGGATGCAAGGGGGATGAAGGTGGCTGGATCAGTTTGAAAGGACTTTTGTATTTTCCTCAAACTAAGAAGTTTTCAGACACCTTCAAGTTTTACATCCTGCTCTTCCGCCTTTACCTGCGTTCAGAATACCTTTTCCTTTAACTTTTTACTACTTTTATAATGAAAGTGATCAATCAGTAGTTACAGTACAGAATTCCATCACCTACAACTCTGTCAACAGGTCCATTTATGGAAGAGATGTACCCCAGATACATTTAGAGAAAACACAATCTAGCAATCTTATGTTGCTTGTTATACACACACATGTCAATTTTACTAATCTTGATTCTCCCTTTTTTCTTCAGACATTTTGTAGGCTCTTAATTCTTCATCTTCCAAAAAAAAAAAGTACTTTTAATATATTGTAACTAGTAACTTTAATTTATTTGCAGTAAGTAATTTTCTGTTTGGCAGATACAGTATCTTAATAGGCAAAATGAGGGAGATGGACTACATTCCTTTTCTTCAATTCAAAACAAAGAAATTAATATGTACTTATAGAGTGAAAAATGAATTTTTCTCTCCATCATGCAATTTATAATTATGGAAAGGCTCTGAGATACAGATAATCACTAATCTCAAAGGAGGCAGTTTACCTCAAACATCTGCTGTCAAGAAATGATGTTGCCCTAAGAAAACATAAGAAAGAAAAAAATGTTGCAAAGTTTATCTTTTAAGTAGTATATAAAAAAAAATAAATTAAAAACTGTCTGTGTGCTTAAGATTTGTGCTTAAGCTTTCTTAGCATTAAATGGATCTACTTATACAAAAATCCTCATTTTCCCTATTTCATTTTTTTGTATTACACCCTAACCGTAAGTTTTACAAAGTTATATCTCCATTTATTATTAAATGAACATGGAAGAGGAGATTACATTTAATTAAATACAGGAAGTGACCAAGTCAGGGCTTAAACAATCAATACAAATTTGTTTAACATATAGTAGGTCTAAATAAATATAAGTTAAACATGTCCAAGTGATAGATAGTTAGGACCAAAATTCTCCTTGTTGTATTTTCCTTTGTGAATACAAGAACAAACTTCTGAAGAAATATTAGTTTAAATTATTTCCAAAATTTTACTATACATTTCATGAAGATTTTAGTCCAGAAAACCTCTTACACACATGCTTGAGTTTAAGCATACTTGTACTGCCATCTGAAATCAATGGCACTTGACGGTATGTCACGTATTTCAGGTGGATTCCATTAGAAGGGAAAGATTTATGCTTCCTTGTCTAACAATCCTAAAAATACTACAAAATATGTTAGACAAGTCTTTTTTTTTTTTTCATTAGAATCTATGAACCCATCACAAATTAGGGTATTGGAGCCATTTGTCATTGTCATTGCTAAGAAGCCCTGAAAAGTTATTCACATTTTCTGTTTGGATCCCTCTCTCCTGCTGCCAAGCAGGTAACAGAGGACTGACTGAGGCATGTTTTTCCTCTAAACAACACCTGTTGGTGTCCAAGCTGCCCCTCAAATCAGTCACCTGTAGTGTCATCACTGAAAGCTTTACTTGCACATCCCACTACTATGCAGATCAAAGTGCCAGCAACGAAGGCTTGCAGTTTTTTACACTCTCTGGATACCGAATTACATGAAATTTGTTACTTCTGGTCAGGGCTAAAATGAGGTACTCTTTGGCAGGGTACCATCTAGTGACAGCTGTCACTCTACTCAGCCTGGCACGCCCAGACTACTCATGGCCCAAATAGCTGACATTAAGAAGAAAACACTCACTGTGAGGGTGGTGAAGCACTGGAACAAGTTGCCCAGAGAAGCTGTGGATGACTCATACCTGGAAGTGTTTAAGGCCAGGATGGGGATGGGTCATCCACATGGATGGGGATTTGAGCAACCTGGTCTAGAGGAAGGCATCTCTGCCCATGGAAGGAAGGGGGTTAGAACTAGATGGTCTTCAAAGTACCTTTCAACCCAAGACATTTTATGATTCTATGATCTGGTGCAAGGGAGTAAAGAACACGGAGCCACTCTCTTCTCAGGGATAAGACTGAAGGGACTGAAGCAAACAGGCACAAATTAAAATACAGGAAAGCATTTAAATGTAAGGAAAAGATTATCCCTGTGAGGATTTTTGAATAGTGTGATACTGCTCACAAAAGCTGTGGAGTCTCCATCCTTGAAAATAATCAAACCTGAACAGGACAAAACCCTGAGCAATTTGCTGTAGCTGTCCCTGTTCTCTCCAGAATTCCCTGCCAACTTCATTGATTCTGTGATGCTGCTGTTTGATCGTGAACCTGTGCTGCAAAACCACAGTAACTCGTACTGGAAAGGAGTCAGTGTTGCCTCACTGACTTCTTTAAAATCATTACTCGAGTAAGCTGTGCTCCAAGGCCCTTCTCTAACACATGTAATAAATAAAAAATCACAGAACCTACCCTGAGGCACCTTGAAAGTTTGAGAAAGAGTCCTCCACATTCTCAAGAGGTTTTGTGTAAGCTGTATTGTGGGCCTTCACAGCACTGTGAGTACTCAGGTATTCCCTTTAGTTTTCCCTTGAAGGCCAAGGGTTTTCAGAGGGAGGCTCTAGTTTAATTTAATGCCCTGTCAGATGCATGCATTCCTATTCCTCTTCCCCTTCCTCCTCCTCCTCCTCACCTTTCTGCCTGTGCTGTGGGACTGCACAGGTGTGTGGTATGCACTGGCTCAGCAAGAAGCCGGAATAAGGCTATCCACTTCCACCTGCACATCCCAGAGGTGAGGAGGAGTGCGCGAGTTAGGACCTAAACATTCAGACCAGCCAAGAGAAACAGCTTTGTCCTGAGCCATGTGCATATGGGGTAAGTCAGCTGCATTTGGACTGACTGGATTCATGCAGATCACCTGTCCCAGTGATGCCACATGGAAGGAGAGATGTCCCAGCCATCAGGAGCTGAGCTGTCTGTGCATATGCCAGCCAGCTGCACACTGCATGCACAGAAGACATTTTTGATGCCAAACCTGGCTGCTGGTTGTTTGGAGATCTGAAGGACAGAAGGTCTACAACTGAGGCACTGAAAATTTAGGGAGAGTTTTAAAGGTTCTCCTGTCTGCATACTTGGGCTGGCATCCTATTATACTCTACCTGTGTTGTGCCCAGAAGGCAAAATAAGTTATTCTAAAACCTCCTGGGATTCTGATCACTACAGAACTTTGATCAAGTGTTTCTAATGAGGAATAATCATTAGGCTAACAACACACTGAAATGTGGCCTTTCCACTTCTAATATGGTACTTGACAAATCCACCAAGGTGTATGAGTGTGTAAAGATCTCCAGTAAAATTTGTCTTTTACACAGTAATTTAATTTACAATAGAAGTTCCTTCTTCCCCTGCTGTCAATTCCTGACCATCTTGTCTTATCTTGTTTTACCTATACTTAACCTAAGACTGAAGGGCTCTCTGTGGGTGGCAAAAGCCATCAGTCTCTCCAAGGAGCAGCACTAATGACAGTCAATTCTGCAAAAGGGAACACTGGGTGATCCACCCTGACTGCTGGGCTGAGAAACTGTTGTCATCTACTTGTCACGCAGATGCTGGCAAAGTGTTTTCTTTTTTAAAAACGTGCTTTGAAATAATTTATTTGAAATGATGAATGAAGTATCACACATATAAATGAAATAATAAAAAAATCTAGCTCTAAGCTTCTTAGTATTTTGATGATAGCTAGAAAATAATTAAAACTCGGCACTGTTGCTAAGAAGTCACATGATTTAAATCCATTGATTATATATAATTTTCTTATTTTTAGAGTTGAACAATCTGTGAAGTAAATACCAATGTGCAAATAGCAGACCTATTGCTACATGTATTCCACAGTCAGAAACTTTATAACCACCCCAAGACAACAGTACTTCCAAACTGTGTGTCTCTATTATTCTTGCGATCCCACTACAGAACCGTTTTAATGAGAAAGGTTTTATTTGAGGCACTGTGTGATCAGGCCTCAGTCTGACTGAATAGCTCCCACAAAAGGGTTTTGCTAGCGTCACCTTTCAAAGAAGCGAAAGAACTCATGAGGTAACAAGACTTGGTCAATAGATATGTACAATATACAACAGCTTTCTCATTTCTCTTCATAAAAGGTCAGTTTGCTTTACATTTGAGTTCTCAGGTGAGTTTGTAAAAGATAGATCTGACGAACCTGACAGCGAATACAGCAACCAAACCACAGAGACTTTCAAAAACTGTTTCCAGAGGAGAACCAGAAGCCACGTGTGAGCCCTCCTACTTGGGAGATGCGAGTGGAAGTTGAGAAACGCCTGAACATAGGAGGAGGAAGCCCCGGAGTGCGCGGCTGGCGCAGCTCAGATGGTGTGGAAGAACGCAAGACGCCAGCTGAGATCTCGCCAGCCGGCGGGACACGCCGCACACGCTCCTGGCGGGGCCTCGCCACAGGATGGCACTCCTGGGTGTATTTTAAATGCAGCCACACTCGCTCCAGCATTTTAACTCTCTCCTGGCACAGCGTCAAGCGAGACAGCGCGAATCAGAGGCGGTGCATGGCCACCGAGAATGGCCGTGTCTCTGTGTTGAGCCGAATGAGGCCTGTGTGCGTGGAGACGGGGCTGTGTGGGTGTCCTGCACCCGCCATCACGCGGGGCGGGCAAACAGTGCCAACCCCGCGCGGTGAAAAAGGCAGAATGTCTTCATCTTGGACGCCCTTATTACAGCGGTAACATCTTCTCCAGCAGTATGCTTCTTCAAATGCCGAGTCTGAGATTTACACCACATCTTTCTTTCATCAATAATTTCCTTTCTCCCTCTGATAGAACTGCTGCCAGCTCCATTCATCCCCCACCAAACACTCCCCATGCCACAGGAGGACTACAGCTTGCTAGGCCCTGCTACCAGCCAAAAGCAACCACAGAGGGAATGCAAATGTTAACAAATTTGGTTTATTTACGTTTTTCATTAATTTTGAAGCAGTGCACGTTACCACCTTAAGGATACAGGGTGTTATCCCCAGTCTCGTATTAACTGCTGTTTCCTTTAAAAAATAGCTTCTGATAAATAAGGCAAAATGTGATTTAACAGTTCTTTGCAACAGTTTCTTACCTAATAGCTATAGAAAACAAGTTGAGATTACATTACCAAACTTTAAGGTTAAGTCCTATCACAAAGGTCAATGAAAAAGAATGAGCACCTATCAGATATTTAGAACTGCTTGAAAATGAAAGCCCCCTTTGGCATATATCCTGTTTTTCAGAGTGTGATCCATGGTTGCTTAGTTTTCTGTAGTATTATTTTTTGAATCATTTAGGGTTGGCCAGACTGTAAACAGCAACACAAGGTACTGAATACTAATGGAAAGATGAATCGCGCACTTTCTTGAATATGAAATACGTGATATTTTACATATATGCAAATTCTTAACCTGATCCTCATTCTATTAATTTAAATATTTTCTTATGTAATGTGGACTGAATTTGACCCATAACATTTTCATCTATTAAAAATAATTAGAGAAAATCTTAAGCTGAACTTAATGCTTGGGTAAACAGTCTGATACCACAACTGCATTTTTCATCCCCAGAGCAGAAGAGACTTATTAAAGACTATTAACATATGCTTCTCTCTTCTGAAGAGTTTGGTTCAGTCCAGAGGGTTCCCAGGACAAAATCCCAGTACCAACTTCAGCTGTTGAGAGCAAGAGCACTGCTATGAAGCAGGACATTCATGTGACACATAGAACTTCGGTGAAAAAGCATCTTATGCCTGAAGTCATAAGGACAGTTCAGACTTACCTTACTTTACCTTTAGCTGAGATTGGTAATCAAGTTGCTAATTACTGTCATAGGTTTCAGCTTTCATAGGTATTTAATAATGTATTACATTTGAAAACAATGCAATTTATTTGCCCCAAAATCTTCTGGAATATGAGCTATAATCAGCTTGGAAAGAGGGAAAGATGGATCCTAGTATCTGGAATATCCCTTTCTGGGGTATCATTTTAATTTGAATAGGCAGCCTCTTATTCAGAGAAGCTATCCAGAATATTTGACTAAACTCTGTCATTGTGTTCACACAATCTCTCCAGATTTTCTCTCTTGACATTACTCACATTCAAAGCAATGTCTTCTGCCAGAGTGGGTCGGTGCTCCACTTCCCCAGCTGATTCCCTCAGTAACCAGACTCCAAACCAGAAGGCAACTGCAGTGTCTCCCCTTAAAATACTGTGTTCTAAAATTTCCCATCTCTTGAGGAAATAAGGACTAGGCCAAGGAGAAAAGCTCCAGCTGATAGAAACATAGCTCAACAATCAGCAACACTGAGAAAGGCAACACGACTGCAGAATGTGAAATAGCAGATAAATGAGATTTAGGTGAAGTTTCACACATCTATCCTTCTCCCTGTGTGTGACAGAAGCTCTTTAATGATGTTGTCAGGGCCCCTAGATGGAGTAAGAGTCTCAATGTATATGGCCACTTATCTGTCATCCTTTATTTTACACACGCAGTTCTTAAAGATATTCTGCAACTCCAAGACAAAATAAAGAGTTTCAAGGCAAAATATAGATGAATGAACTGTGGAAAATTAAACTTGGGGAAGATCAGGACCTTTACAAGACATGCAGTATGATACTACTGTCAACTTCATTTATCAGAAATTGAGTTCAACCTCCTCAAATAATACACACTGAGAGAACTGATTCATTCTTTCCTTTGTGCCATAGTGATGTCAATGAGTTCAAACGAGTTACTTTCAATTTATTCCCTGTCAAGAAAGGAGACATCCATCTATCCATCCACATGGACCAAAGAAAAGCCTGAGCAGACAGAGAACTTCTGTGGAATTAGCCTACACTTTTCTCGGTTAAAGGGCCAAACACCCTGCTAGAAAACATCTGCAGCCAAAAATATTATCACAGATACAACTCAGTCTGAATTCAGCCTAGGAATGCCTTGATTTAGCACAAGGAAAATGGCCTTTGTAAAGCTACTGTGTATCACAAACACTAATGCCAGAAAGCTGAATGTTCATTGTATAGAGACCCAGAACTGTATTAATAACAATACCCACTGAGGACATTATATTGCAGTCTCTTCACACTTATAAAGGCAGGAAATTATTTTTATAGCAAACATCTTCTGTTTTCACAATTTGTCCTAGCATACCAGATACTAGCAGTATGAAATCTTCCACTAAGACTTAATGAAAATAAAACTAGATGCAGTAAAATATTATATAATGGCTAAGCCAAAGCTTTTCTCTGAATATTCTGGGTATTCTGAAGTTGATCTATATTACTAGAGTTACACAAACTTTTCATGTAACTGAACACAAATGAGCATGCAAGAAAACACTCTCTGGGAATTACAGGAGGAGAGGACTATAATAAAATTACATCAGGTCCCACATTCTGACTTTCCTTCTGGGGGCTGTTTGCTGTCTTCACCCTGAAGAATCCCGTACCACTGGCTGTGGCTGGATCCACAGTGGGCTTATTTGTAAAAGTTACTGGAGACAGGAATGAAGAATGGCTGGAGACAGATCAGACTTTCTGTGTCAGGTTGTGATGGAGACCATTGTTTAGGCAGGAAGATGGTGCAGACTGTGTGGTTAAGGTGGAGGAAAACTGTGTAGTGCCTACTCATTCTCCTGAACTAACTTAATGATGGCTTAAAAACCAGGACAGGGTAAAAGAAGATCAGCAAAATTCCCAACTTGGCAGATGAAATGGAGGAGTTCAAAACATGAGGAGGAATTTATTTACTGCAGGGGTTTTTAAGCCTTGGAACTGGCTGCCCAGGAGTTAGTCGGTGGAGTTGCCACCCCTGGGGGTATTCAAGAAATGCCTGGACATGATACTAAGTGCTTTGGTCTAGTTGACAAAATGGTGATGGGTCAAAGTCTTTTCCAACCTAAATAATTCTGGGATTCTGTGAATGTAATGCTACAACACAAATACTGGGCAAAATAGTCCAGCTTATCCTGTCAGGAATCTGCAAGTACACAAAAACTGTCCTGCAGTCTATAGAGAAAACATGCATGTATGGACTGAGCTCACATATAACTCCTCTGGAATAATTGGTTCAAGTCCAGAATGGAGACACAGGGCATCAAGTTGAAGGTCCTTAGGAACAAAGGACCACAATCACCAAACTCACTGACAATTGCTCCAAAGATGACTCGTTACTTCTTTTCCCCTTTGCCACATAAACAGGATGTCATATGGAAAAAAAACCCGAGAGGCTGACCCTTAATGTGACAGGCATTAATTCACACTGCTTAATGCACTCTGACACATTAGAGAGGTGCTCATGTGACATCAGGGCAGACCCAGTAAAAGACCCAAACAGGACAATCAGAACAGCCCAAGGAAAGGGAACAAAGGCTCAACTATAAGAGAGACTTAGCCCGAAAAAAGGTGATTGGAACCAAGAGAATAACAGGAAAAGAGAGAGCAGACAAGGGAATAAGGATTGCAGAGAAGTCAGAGATAAAGAAAATGCCGCAGATAATGACGTGAAGCTGAGGAAGGGACAGGGAAATAGTAATGGAGACTTAACACAGCTACAGATTGAGGGGAAAAACATAAGGCTGAATAAAGATAAAGCTCTCACAGAAAGAATTAGAAGACACAGTGATTCTATGATCACCAAGGTATTGGTTTGTTTCAATTAAACAGTATGTCTACATAAATTTTGCAATTTTGAGACTGTCTACAAGGTTACCAAGATAATAACAATAACACTACTACTAACAATATATCTATTATTATTATTATTATTATTATTATTATTATTATTATTATTATTATTATTATTGTTTTTTGTTTGAAGTATTTATTAAGAGGACCAATGTGAAACAGGGTACAAAAACTTTCTGTCTTGGGGAAACTAAGCCAAAGGGTGCCAGAGAAAGGTGAGTGATGCCTATTACCAGCAGCAGATGTTCAGAGACATAAGCGAGGAACAGAACAGACTGTCCAACCTTACACGTTCATCAGGAAAGCCATCAGAAATAGCACAGTGAATGGCAGTCTTCACAGAGTTCAGGAAGTCAGTAAGAAGAGATTTTCAGCCATGATCCAGTTACAAAAGCTGTCTGCATTCAGGCAGAGCTGTGCCACCTGTGTAGCAGAGGGCAGCAAGGTATACTTGTGATGTGACCTAGGCCACGTGTCTGTCAACTTCTGACTTAAAGAAAGCCAAATGAGTCATTTTCCTCTTTAAAGGACAAAATAATATTAGCTGACAACCTTCTGCAACTCCTGTTTTCAACAAGAGCCACTTGGGATCATGGGTATGTTTGAAAAATCAATCTCTAAGCAACTGAAAATGTAAAAGTTTTAAGGTAGATATCCTTGTTTCACTCCTTTTGGCATTAAAATTAATTCTAAATATCCACTAATAGCTCTTGTCTCAGTCTTGGTTGAGACAGACTTGCAGTGGCAGCCTTTGAGAGCAAATACTGAGGGACATCTGAGATAACACAGCCCTCTTATATAACAAGAGTACACTTCATGCTAACACTGAAGAAAAGGCTGAACGGCAGTCCCTCAATGAACATGCCAAATATACAGGTTATATGCCAGCTCTCTAACAGCTATTATGATTGTCAAGCATATTAATAAACTTTTACAGTTGAAAGGGAAAGAAAATCTGAACCTATTTTCAGGATATTGTGCTCTGAACGAACACTTACAGACTAAGGATTTGTCTGTGGGGAATATGCTAAATCAAGCCCTTTTGAACTTTTGATTAAATAATTGATGCATAATGCAGAATGTATAATATATGCATTCTTTTTCCATAGTTGCCTGGAAACCCATATGGAACAGTAGTAACAATTCCAGAAGCATTTAGTCTCTAAGTCGTTGGTGAAGACAAAGGAACAAAAAAGTTTTTAAAATCATTAACTCATTTCTCTTTCCATTCTTCAAATACTGCAGGATACCAGAATTAGTAACTTACACAATGGTATCATGACTCTTGTAATACAGAGTGGCTTTTTTTTTAAAGCTGTATCTCTTGGAGCCATGTGAATAATGTCACTCACTCTAAGGGAACTTGTAAGACTCAGCTTTCATTAAAATAGAAAACAAAGAACACAGTATTTCCAGCCTCTACCTTTATGTAATAATAATAAGCAGATCATAAAATATCCAAGGTGGTCAACAATGAAGAAAAAAAATAAGAATGCAAAATGGTGATTTTCATTCCAAATTATAGAAATTTAAGCAATTCTCATAAAGGACTGATCACTCAGGGTTTAGAAGAATATGAGAAACCCATGATCACAAATTCAAGAGGCAGATTGCTTCAAATTGCAGCCAAGCAGACCTTTTGCACTTCTCAAGTAGGCAACACTGCTTGTCATTCAGTCTGATTGCTCTGTGACCCAGCCTGAAACTATCTTGCTTGGAAGATTTACTGCTTCCAAGATGAAATGAAAAACAGGATGAAACCCAACAATGAGAACAGAGCACTAACCATGGAAACTACAGTGATGAAGGATTAAATTATTTAATCTAAACAATTCTGTAATCATCATAATTTGGTGGCTCTGTTTCTGATGGTAAGTTTCCTGAGTAAAAGAAAAAGAAGGGCAAGTACAAAACTGCATGGGTTCTTGGGATGTAAAAGGCAGGATAATAATAGTCAATACTTCCTGCCATGGCAGGGATCTTCATGGGATTCTTGCACCTTTGCACATTTGTTGTGCACTCTATTCTACATTTGAGAAAATCAATACTCACTGAGTAAAAGGACCAATGTCTTTATACTACACTGGCAAAATGTCTCGTTTGAGTAAAGAGAAGCAGTTACATGGTCCTAAATCAATCAACAGAGAAAGATGAAAGATCTGATACTTAAACATCAACAGGACTGGAACACTTGTGAATATCCTCTAGCTTTGTGTTTTTGGAACTCTTTTGGATATGTAAGATCAGCATAGGTTTTCTCATGCAGAAGAAGAATAACCTGGATGTCCTGTTAACTTCTTCAGCCACTGGATAACACAAAGGTCACAGCACCATTTCTAGTGTGGAATCAATACTTGCCTATCCTTTCCTTTTAATGCAAGTACCAGATATTGTGACTTTTCATTTTGTACTGAATGGTATGATAGAAAAAATAGAGTCAAACCCCAAACTCTAGCAATTTTATTTAGGTTAAGTATTTTTTTTTAAATTGCTTGCCATGATGATGGGGGTCAGTAGCTCATACAGGTTGATCTCCCAATTTCATATCCAGATTGTCAGTTTCGGGGACAAACCCATTTTCAGCAGCTTGCTGAAGCATTACAGGAGGTTTAAGAGTACAGACAGAAAAGAGCTTTAAGAAAAGCATCTAAAAATAATGTATTTACAATAACTGTCATTCATTTTCACTAGGAAATTATTACATTTAAGCAGAGGAGAAATTAAATCCTAACTTAAAACAAATGTAAAAAGGCAGATCAGATCAGGCAAGCACCCAAAAGCATGTATGGAGATTAAGCTGACATGCCTACATGCCTCAGCTGTGACTACACAAGCCCAGAGGAAGTAGAATAAAGAGCAGGTGGAGGTGGAGGAGACTGCCTTGGACATACATAAGGTTTCCATCACAGTCATGTCCAAAATAATTAAAAAAATAAATCAAAAAAAAAATCACTACATTGAACAACATTTAAAGGGAGAAACAAAGACACCAACACCCTGAGGTGTTGAGATTAAACTGCCAGAAAAACAAGCTCCCTTTTTGTCTGCATTAATTAAGCCACATGTTACCATAAGCAGCACAGCTTTTGATTCACACTTTCAACTGTCAATGATTTATTCTGATCTAGGGAAATCAGCAAAATCTGCTTTTGTAGCCACAGTCACAGAATGATTTCACAACACATTTACGATAGTTCACCAAGGACAACAGTAGTTTTCCAGCCATACAGTTCTGTATTAGTGAGTGATATTTAACTGTACAATGGTTTTGATTATGATATGTTGGTATGTCCTACTCCTGGTTGTCACCATACCCCAGAGGGAATTTGCATGTGAACACAGTATTTCATCTCAGCATGTTAATAAATTCACTGAGAAAGAAGGATTAAAATAAATCAACTGCACAATGATCAGTGGGGATAATTATAAATTCTGGGGTTTAGTGGCTCCAGCTACTGGTGAATGTTGAGTGATAGGTCTAACTGCTGTCATTGGTCTTTCATCCTTATTTTAGGAAAGCCTAACATGTTTCTGTGCCTGGATGCCATGGATAAACAGCAGCAAATAAACCTTGCCAAGATGGCATTTTCCTGGCAGTAAGGGGTGCTGAGCAGGAGTTATGTTTGCTGAGAATGTACTCAGGTGCTCCAAAACCTGCTCTGATGCACTGGCAATGAAGTAAAGGACAATACTCTCCTGTTTGACTTGGTGAGAGCAACATTGGTTCATAGAGTTTTCAAGTTCTGACTGTTTTCAGACCTCATGGTGCTCACCTGTAATTTTTCTACCTTCCTCCTTGATTCTTGCAGTGTGCACTATCTAGCACCACCTTTAAAACACATGTAGAAAATCTGTATGATAAAGTCAGCTATTCCCACTTGGTATTTTTCGTACTGTACAGACTGGAATAAACACGTAGCATGTTTGATCAGGCTCCTGTACTTGCTTCCCAGTTGCTTTTATTACTCCAAATAATGAAATTTAACCTCAAATGATTAGGATGCTGCTATTTCCAACACTATATCCAATACTATCCACCAGTAAAGTGAACACAGTCAGCTCTCTCACTCCTGGCTTTACATTCTGGGATTTCAAGATGACATAATCACCAGCAATTTGTTACCCAAGGTCTATCTGTCTGCAACTCTTTGCATTCATTTGGAATTATTCATGCCCAAATCTTAATATCTTCTCAAGACTTTAGTATTTATTTGACTTTTTTCTCTTTTTTTTTCCCCAGAAAAGGCATCTATCTCTTGTGCTGATATTTATACCTAAGGGAAGACTATTGCTACTGCAACAGGTCTACTGCTACAGGAATTCTGCAAAGCAATCAGCAAGTAGTCTGCAATTATCTCTTTCTATACCCAGCACATCATCACAAGTACCTACATTTACCTACAGAGTTTCTCTTTTCATTATTTCCAATTTTAGAAATTGTCAGCAGAAATAAGAAGCATAAAATTAGTTTATATTCATTGTGAATTAACAAGGTTTCCCAGCTTTTAGGATTTCGGCATTCAGAATTTTGCATATCTCCTGCTTTTGGGATTTTTGTCACATATTGCATCCCACATTTGGACATTTAGCAGATTCAGAGGTGTGGCAACAATAATTTGTAAATGTTATTATTATTTATTTACAGTGTTAACTTAGGTAAAGAGGAACGCTTAAAATTGCAGGAATTTTTCTTTGAAAGATAATATCATAGATTTTTCAAATTTATCTACTTTTGTTATGAGTCCTTAAGAAGAATTTCCTGTTTTTCTGAAGCACAAGGCTGGACTGGATTATATTCCATCCTGTTTGACAAATAATTGCAATGACTGATAATGATTTTTCACACTCTGATAATTGTATTTAAACTGTCACTTTAAAATGCTTAGAGACATTTTTATAAAAGAAAGACTTTCCACACATAGGGTATTTTCCCAGAGTTCTATAGAATTATAAGAAAGTCATATATTTGCAATTTTGAAGACTGTTGGCTAAATATCTGCAAAGAAATCTTATGAATATGAAATAATTTCACAGAGAAAATTATTTGATATGCAGTGGTAATACTCAAGGTGCAACATATGTAGTGATATTCTGGTAAAAGGTGGTAAACTGTCATATCCTCTGTAATTTTTGCCCGGATAATTTAACTAGTTTCAGGAGAAACTCTGCAAGAAAGAATGGCTCTCAAAATATGATTTTTGCCTATTGCACACCGCCTGCTTTGACAGTAAAACCCAGTCTGCTGCTGAAGGTTTCAGCAAAAAAACTGCTTTTGTACTGAGAAATGAATTCACGAAGCGAGGCCAGGAGATGAACCTGTGTCTGTGTCTGCATTAAAGGCAGCAGAAACAAACAGTGCACTGTGTGTGATAAGTGTAGCTGCCTGTTAAACGATATCTCATGACTGCCTATGCTAATGGGCACCTCCGGGTAAAAAAGATGGTGCTAATAAAGCCTCTGCTCTGCTTTTCTTGGAACAAACACTTCTGGCACTCAAAGCAGCTCTCTGCTTCCATCCTCATACACCTTCAGCCTGTAGCCAAGAGCAGCTCTCTGCAATTTATTAAAATAGCTCTTTAAAGAACCCCTCAAATATAGTCTTTCCAAGCAATTTTCCCCTAGTAAGTCTGGGCCAGTGTGCCAGGGCAGGCCAGGAGAGCACAGCTGAAAGACAAGGATGGTTTGAGTGACAGGAGGTGCTATGCACTGGGAGTGGAGCAGAACTGTCTTTGAGCTTTTTCTTGTTATATTCTACCCTAAACAAAGCAGCTCAGATGCAGCAGAAAGGTTTTTTTCCCCATGACCCCTTTTTCTTTTTTTGTCTAATTACAGTTGGGTGGTGCATAATGACTTTCTGTAGGGGGAAAAAGAAAAACCCAATCCAAAACAGTAGCTGACATGAGCAAGAGGTCTGATATTAACCCTTTCAAGGGCAGTGCTCAATTCAGCAGCTCTATGTTTAGCAGCTCTTTTTTGGACAGTCATTGCTTGAATACCTGTCAGGTGAATGAATAACTTCTCCCATCGATAAGAGAAGCCTGTCTGGGAGAGCAGCAGTCTACTCAAAACAATGGAAGAAAACTGTACTTGATGGTGAAAAGACACACAAACCAGCCTATTCCAGAGCAGCAGGCATCATTCCTTAAGTTGCACAGAACCCAATACTTATGATGACATCTTAAGTTTCTCCTTTTATTTTTTTTTCCTTAAGAAGAGGTTGATACAGTATCAGTCTTTAAACAAGATCAGCAAATTACTCCTACCAGGTTATCAATGGAGACCAGAAGCTAAGTCCTGTCCATGGGTGATTTGGCACAAGCTGGCAAACTACATAGCATCTGCACTAATTATGAAGAGAACCAACAGTTCCACAAAAGCAGATCTCAGCTGATAAATCAGAGGCGCAAAATTAAAATTAACAACCAGTATATTTTCAGCCAGACAGACACTCCCAGCAATGAGGCTATTGTTAGCCTTTAGGTTTTTTTCATTTGCTTTGCATGCAGTTGAGTACATACTTTGCTATCACTGTCCATTTAATTGGATACTTTTGTCACCTGAGACTACTGTATTTTGCTACCATGAAAATGAACTGAAAATGTCATCCTCCTAAACATAAGATTTTAAAAAATAAACAACTGAATACAACATAATAGCATCTTTAAACACAGTTGCTCCTGAATGGGAGAAGCCAGCTGCTGGGCAGGTACTAAACCCCCCTGGGTTTTGTGTCTGGCAGACTTCTTATAATGTAATACCAAGCCTTCAATTCATACTTCAGCTAAGGACATATTAAAAATACTAGAAGTGTGCTACAAAAGTGATTAAACTATCAGTTCTGTGGCTTATAGCACAGTAAATACAGTCCAAAATATTTTCCATCACAACTTGGCCTCTCCAGTATGTATGGACAGCATTAGCTAAACATTTCTGTAACACAGACAGACGTAAACCCAAAACTAGGGACTTAACAGGGCAGTAAATTTCTATCTACAGTGAGCATTTTTTAACATACTTACCACTGTATGTAGCATAGCCAGGTTGTCATTCTAGTCTATATGGGAGGACTAAAACTCACTTGTTTTCTCTGTGTTGGTTCTCTCCCTACTGCTATTGCTGAGAAGAGTGCCCTTGGTTAGGTTACTTTTTTAGGTTGGTGTGGAAAGATCTAGTAAAGCACATATACCCCAACGTGCTCTTCTAAGTATCTGCATACCATTTTGGATGGAGAAGAAAGGATACACTTCATTACAGATTTTATATGTATTTCCCCTTTAAAGCTCACAGCACATGACTGTGCCAATAGAAAATGCAGCCATAAAAGGAAAAAGACTAAATCTCAGAAGAGAAGTTAAAAAATGTCACTAATCAAGTGGGAAATTTCCCAATAAAACCTAGAGGGAGTAAGACAGATACAAAGAGACTACAAGCAGGTTCACTCTGTCAGAAGAGCTGCGTCTAGGTGGTCTCCTGGAAATGTCTGACAGACATTGCACTTTGCTGCACCCTAAACAGAAGAGGACTGGAAGCAGCATTTTTTCCTCACAGAGCTGCTATAAAAGCATTTAATTTGTAGGGCCCTGGTGAAACTCACAAATGCCATTTCACACAAGAACACTGGAGAATGCAGTTAACAGACTTATTAATCAAAGTTGTGGCCTGTATCCTGACCCACCCTTCTGTGACTGAATCACTGGCATATTTGAGGCAAGTTCATTATAAAAACAGGTTAATATTTGATGTCTGCCCAGGCAGTCTGATTAGTGTTCTTTGGAATGCCAGATCACACAGCCCTGGTTTGTCAGTGGTAAGAAGGACAGGCCAGGGAGTGCAGTGGAAAGTTTGTAACAATGGCAGGTGAAAGAAGTGCTGGCATACTTACAGTTGCATTTCTTCTGAACAAATCTAAGCTTGCATGCTGTTCGGTAGGTGGACAAACGGATGCGATCCAGATCCTGAGCCCCTAGTGGAAGAGAATAACAGTGACATTTGTATGGAATATGACCTGTGTGTATCTTTGCTAGCAGGGAAGCCAGAGAACAAAGAGGATACACGAGCTGCCTCCGTTTAACAATTTTCAAGGCTCTCTCCTTTGCAGAGAGAGTAGAGAGGAGTGAGGAGTAACAAGGGGAACGTCAGGAGCTACAGCGTTAAAAGAATTTTATAAAGGAAGGCAAGGAATAGTCAGCCCACTGTGTCTGTCACTTTGAAGAACAATCTGGTCAAGCTGCAGGCTAAAAGACACACTGGCCAGGCTCCAACAGCAGAGAAAAACCTCACTTGAATTTTAATATTTAGCAAAAAAAGCTCGTAACAAATATCTTTAGCTGACATGCCACACCAGAGCAAGGTACTGCCAGCAAACTGAACCAGAAAATATACTGTACTGTAACCTAAAGACTTATGGCAACCTGCAGAAGGGGGCAATGACAAAGTGTGTGAGGCCTTTGTCCATTTTGTGGATGTATGTTCTCTGCAGTGGAGACCTCAGAGGGTCAGCTCTACGCTCCACGCAAAGCACCCCCGGATGCTGCAATGTAAAGATCTGGTAATTTCCAAAGCAGCTGTCCAAGAGATGGGAGCAAACTAAGTGGCAGCTACCTCATAAACAAGGACAGTACACAGGGGCCAGTACGGGGGCAAAGCCTGGCACAGCGTCCAACAAACTGATCCAAACAAGGTACAGTCAGGATGTAAGAGGAGGGAATACAGCCCTGCTTCTATACAAGTGTTCTAAATGCTTTAAGATTTCTCAGCTGGACTGCTGAACATATGGCCACGTCAGCATCTGTAGCAGGATACTCTAACTGGGGGTAAAACATCTCTAATTTTCTCCCATTTGCATAAGTTATCAGTGATGGGTGGGGAAGGTGGATCATGCTGCTTTAGGTGTTCAGGAATACTGAGACCACCCTGACTCTACAATCAAAAAGCTAAACCTTCTGGGGACATGAAAAACAGTCCTGCCTGACAGAAATCAGCACTGGTGAGGATGTGGCACACAAAGTTCCTGACAAAGGAAGCAACAAGTGATAGTACTGATAACTTATCTAAAGCTGCTGAGCTGGCACGGGTAGCCTAGAAACATTTGACTGACAGCCAATCACTTTATACTATAAAAGCTCAGTTCCATTTTTTAATGGCAGGGAGTTCTAACACACTCCTTCTGCATATGTATGTGGCAATTCCTCCCTTGGGTGAGAACGCCCCTCACGGTTATTCCTTGAGGCCAAGTGGAAGAGATTTGCCCACTATATCAGTGTTGATATGGGTGAGTAACACCAATCTCTACTTAATAATTATTAAGCTACCTTTGAAATAATTTATTTAATAAATAGTGCCCAATATAATTAGTTATAAATTACTATCTGGTAAATAATTTTGATTAAAATATTTTAGTTTAATCATTATCATTAAATAAATATTTATTTTATTCCTATAAATATATTTGGTTTGCTATCCTAAATCTTGCATGATGAAGTCATATAGAGTATCAGTTACATCTATATAACCCTTAAGAAATAAACTCTTTACCAAGTCTGGGACTAGGATTGGATTGAGCTCTACTCAGGCTACTCTCTTCCAGAATGAGTGGGGTCCTTTCTGCACCTTGTGACTCAACTGGAGGGCTTCCTTCCCTGATAAATCTTGCCTGAAGCTTCCATTCTGCCTGTGGCAGCATCGTTCACCCACACTTTCTTAAACAGTATTATCCTTTGGACCCAAATTTTACCAATGTGCTCTGGCCTATGGAATGAAAATGAGAATGATACTCTCTACCCTCCCCAGATTCTGCTCTTTTCCTTACCAAATTCTCCCATGCTGTCCTCCCAGGGCTCTCAGCTACTTCCTTTTATCAGTTACACCATCTGCTCCTGGGATAAACTACCTCTGACTACTTAACATCAGGTACGGGAAGTATTTTTGTAGTTTTTTCCATCATATCATCTACTGTTAAAATCACACAGGTTATTTCCTTCTCCATTGGTATCTCACTGACAGCTTTTGAAAAATTTCTTTACAGGTGAAAGGGAAGATAAAGCTCACAACACTAAGCTTTTCCTTTTTAACAGGAAAAATGAGTAAAATGAATGTAACTAAATGAATGTAACTTTTCCCCTCTTAACTTTAGCAAAAGCTACCAATAAACTCCAGTGCTCTTTTGTAAAACTTCAGCCTTTTAACAAGATTTAAAGACTGAAAGCAAAGTGAGAGTCTGGCTCATTGAACTTGTGAAGTTGCAGTAATAATCCTAAATAAACAAATTTGTAGGCAATGTTTTTTTACTATTTGCACACAGAGTGGATGGTATTATTTTAGTATTATTTGGGGAGTAGGTGTTGCTGGTAAGACCCTGGAACAGATAATTTAATTTTGTCATGATTCACATTTTGCCACAGTCAGAGATCTATTTGTCAAGTAACTTCTGTAGAAAAGTGCCATCACTTACATGATGGAGAGTCCTAAAAAACAAGTGGAAAGATGTGCAGGACTGAGCATGGCAAATAAGACAGTGAACTTGTAATTCCCTGATTGCCAGTGGCCTCTCCTTCCTTCTGTCTGCTGGAAGTGACTCACTCTGTTTCCTTTGAATATGCTCATGTCATGTAACACTGTTTGCAGTCTGCAAAAATAACAAAGGGACACACTGCAACTTGGGCTGCTGTTTCCCTGCTGGATAATATGTGCCAACAATGATGTTCATTTTGAACTCTTCATCAGTGTGGATGTACCTGGGCATGTCAGGTCAGACTATGGTAACACTAAGACTTAGTGGCTTGATGTCCAACAGAGCATTTTGAGTTATAAGACAAGTTTTAACCACAGGACTCTAAGGAAGGTGATAACAATGATGATATTAATTCACAGAAGTTTGTAATTTGGAACTAGAAGGATGCCTCTTCTGAAGGAAAGGAAACAAAAAAAGGTTGAACTGGACCTCTCAAAATACAAGGAAAATCACAGTGGTCCAAATTTAAAGTCAGAATCAAATCCTTCTATTCCTTCTTCAGGACAAACATCCCACTTAAAAAGGCTTGAAAAGTTAATTTTTTTTTTTGTTCTCTTTGCTATCTTGTGTAGTCTGGAACATGACCCACTTTGTAAATTATTGTGTAATTTTAATCACAGACTTGCAGATGTAGGTCCCAAGAACCAAAACCACTGGCAAAAGCCTTTATATCATGAATTTTCTTCCTCTGATATAGGCAGATCGTGGTGATTACCTATTACCAAAGGATTATGCCTATCAGAATGTTAAGAAGCTTCACATGGCCCACAATATGTAGGGTGTCGGGAGCACATGGTTTTTGTTAGACGTGTGGGCTTGCACACAGCCAGGGGCAGCTGAATGCGATGCCAGGATGAACTTCCATTTCAGTGAAGCACAACTTCTACACACAGAGGTATCTGAGGGGCTTTCATAATGCAAAGTCCAGTGTTTTATGAATATGGCTAAAATACATTTAGTTTTTCCACAAAGACTTAATATTTTCCCCTCCTTTTACCTAGTTGGAGCATCCAGTTCTCTGTGTACGTATGTAGTAGGTGGAGGAACAGAGGCAGGCAAACAGAAAAGGGAACATGTGAGATAAATTCAACTGAAGTAAATATGCCAAAATAGTAAAATGTGAAAGAAGAATATAGTAGACTGCAACTACTGGTGTACACTATGGGAAAATAGTCCCTCCTCTGCCTCCAACTGTTGGTTTTCCCAACACCTCCTTAACTCTTCCAAAACAATCTGACATCAAAACAGCCTTCAAAACTGTGTTAACAAACCATAAACCCTCACAGCAAAGTCCTAAATATTTTAGGAGTGTTTCAAACTAATTGAATGTAATGGTACCTATGCCACTGACTTTAGCTGATAAAAAAATCAAGGCCCCTCTGTAATTCTAATTAAAACTACAGTATGTTTTGATAATGGGTGAATATATTTTCTGATTCTGGCCAAAGTACACCACCTCCTTCCACGGGTCCAAGATGATGTACACAAGAGACAACTGAATCACAATATATCCTGTGTTGGAAGGGACCCATAAGAATCACTGAGTCCAACTCTTGGCTCTGCATAGGATACTCCCAAAAATCACACCATGTGCCCAACAACATTGTCCAAATGCTTTTTCAGCTCTCTCAGGCTTGGTGCTGTGACCACTTCCCTGGGGAGCCTGTTCCAGTGCCCAACCACCCTCTGGGTGAAGAACCTTTTTTAATATCTAACCTATACCTCCCATGACACAGCTTCATTCCATTTCATCAGGTCCTGTCACTGGGCACCAGAGAGAAAAGATCAGTGAGAAATATTCATGAGTTACAACAGCAAGTGCCATGTGCTACTGAAACAATTACAGGACACAACAGAGCTAGTGGACACTGTGGAATGGGCCAAGACACTTCTTGATAGGCCATCTGAGTGGGAAGTCATTTGGAGAGATCAGATGTAGGGCTGTCCTGAACAGCCAGGAACAGTCCTGAGTACACTGAATTCACCAGCACACACTTGGCCTTTCTATGCACAGTAACTCCAGTCCCATTAATGCCCATCTTAGGCTCCCACCAAAGATCAGGGAGATGCTCTGTCATTGTTTGCTACATGGCAGGGGACAAACAACAGGAAGCTTAATAATTACACACAAAACTCGGGTAAATCTAGTAACGGGGTGACAGCCTCAAACTTGACATGTAACAGAATTTCCTGGAGAAACAGCTAATTGGTTGTAAGAGAAATTAGAGATGACTGTCAGAAGCGCAGGAACATTATTGGTATGGTAATCCCTGACACACTATCGTGCACGGAGCACAGAACTTCCTTAGGGACTATAAAAATTACACTGAAGTGGGGTAGGAAGCACATGAGTTCCTGTAGTGTGTCTGGCTGAGATGCAGTTAACTTTCTCTACAGCAGTCTGCATGATGCTGTGTTTTAGATCTGTGGCTAAAAAAGTGTTGATAACACACCGCTGCTTCAGCTGTTGCTGAAGAGTGCTTGCACAGCACTCAGGCTTTTTTGTTTCCTACTCTGTCCCCTCCCAGGGCTGTCTAGGGATGGGCAGGGGGCTGGGAGGAGACATTGCAAGGACAGATGGCCCCACCTGGCCAAAAGTTTAGTCCACACCACATAGTGTCATGCTCAGCAACAAAACTGGGGTGGGGAAAGAGGGGGGTGGGGAGTTTTGTCTTCCAAGGCAAAAAAGTCACTGTTCCATGACTAGCTGGGCATCAGTCTGCTTTCGGGAAGAGGGGAACAGCCACCTTTGCATCACAGGCTCTTGGTTTCTGTTGTAATTTTTCCCCTCTTTTCCTGCAACCTAATCAAGTCAATCTCAAGCAATGAGTTTGCTTGTTTTTGCTCTCCCTATGTTCTCTCCCATTCTGCTGGGGCTGGTTAGGGATTAAGCAAGTGTGTGGGAATTTGATAGTTGGCTGGGGTAAACTCACTACAGGTACCTCCAAAGAAAGATGTAGCTTTTGGAGACCTTTATCCCTCTTCATTGCAACCCGTGTATTCCATCATCTTTGTCTTAAGAAACTACTGATTAAAATAATTCAATCAAAAAATCTGATGTAGAAAACCCCTCTCTCCTGCTTTGGCCAAATCAGCCCATTTTCATGCAGTTTCGGTCTCATGTTGCTCATTTGTGCAATGGAGATTTGAGGTGGAAAGCCCGCGTAAATTTTACTGACATTGCATAGTAACTGGCTTGGTCTATCACAGCAAAACATTTCCAGGAAGTACTTACGCATTTCTGCAAACAGCTGCCTTCTTTCTGCCATGGTATTTCCTCTTTTCCCACAATCTTCAATCATTCTGGAAGACAAAATCATATGAAAACATTAAGTATTATTCCCAGACTGAACATACGTACATAAGCATCCAAAATTGATCCCAAAGAACCTTTGTGGTTGACTGGTGCTCCACGTGTATCCGATGCCTTTTGCCAACCTCTCTGTGGCGTGGTTTGTATAGAACCTGGTCCCTAAACTGTCCTCCATTCTCTGGACTCTGCTTTCAAGCATTTGTTCCCCCCCCTCCCCTCTCTCCCAAAGGCAGTGTTCAGTTTTTCTGCTTGATGTAACTAACTGGCTTACATAACACAAGCTCTGAAATTCATTTTAGGCTTTCTTAAATAAGGAATCCTCAGTTTAAATTATGTAAGAAAGAAAAAATCATAAAAGATTCAGATATTATTTTATAGACTCTAAAACTATGTTCTAGCCAATTCTATGTGGAGGAGACAAAAAAACCCAACAAAACAAAAACAGCAATTAAATCTCTACTCCATAACATAATACATGTTATTTACCCAAGCAAACACTCTCCCAATATTCATTCAAATTCAGGACAGTATATCTCTGATTAAATGAGTTTCACAAAAAGTCTCAGAAGTAAGAGTATATTTTCCTTCTGTTTTCAGATTAAAAAATCTTTTTACTATTTTGAGGAGCACTACTGCTGGATAGAGCAGAGAAAAAAGTGACAGCTTTTCACAGCCAGCATTCAAACCATAAAAGACTAAAGCTTTCAGAGTGAAGATAAACATCTTTAGCAGCACTCAAAAAATTAAAAGTAGTGTCAGCATCACCACTTCCTATGGGTAATTACCCAGTCGAACCAATATCCTTTCCTGCCTGCCAAGTCTGGTTAGAACTTCTGACCTGCATTTTAATCTACATCCTTATGTCAACTAGACTGTGTAAAATAACATCACATTACCTAGACTATAAAGGAGATGTTCTATAGAAGCCTGCAATCAAAAATATTGCACTGTTTCCCATAGTGAACATCCATATGTATACAACAAGAAGGATAGCAGTACTGGATGCTGAAGCCTACCATCACCAAAGAACTCAAGATAGAAAACCAGCTTCCTTTTACTTCCCACAGACAGAAAGGCAACCACATAAGAGGTGTTTTGTTGTGTGGGGCTTTTTTTTTCCTTTCAAAATGCACTGTTCAAATGAAGTGGTGGTACATTATAATTGCCTTTTCCAAATAGCCTATTCAATTCTCAGAGTACTGATAAAGACTCTGTTAAAGTGCTATCCGTGGTCAACATTTTGTGATGTGAGCAGCAGTCCCACTAGGAAGTGGACAAAGGGTATGGATGCAACCTCTTTGCAGGGATATTCAAGTTCCCCTCATATTCAAGCACGCTTTCATTTGTCTGGGAGTGATAGGAATGTGTGTGGCATGGCATTAAGTCTGAGCTAACATATCCTCCCTTTCTGCAGAGATAACAGCTCTCAGCATAGGGCATCACCTAAGTGGTCACTCAGCCTCTCATCTGAGGTTGCTGGTGTCTTGCTAGCTTGGAGGTGTCGGGGAAGATTCAAACCTCCCTGCAAAATGAGATACCTCAAGATATGCCAGGCCCAAACAGCATCTTAATCAGACAACAAGAAGTAATAGATTTTTCACATGAATCAGCCTTAAATCTCTGACCGTAAAAGATTAAAGGCAATATAGTTCCACTAACCATGGCTTGAGTTCCCCACTCCTTTCTGTTTTTAATGAGACTCATAGTAGGAGACAAATTTGCCATGGGAAATGACCAGATCTCATAGGACAGGTGGGTTAATAAAGCCCTTTGAAAAGATAACAACTTTTACTAGGCAGGGCAGTTGAGTGAATACTTCAGAGCAAACACAATTTTTGATTAATATTTATTGCTTGTAGAGTTGGTTATAGGCCACCTGTCTTTTCATGACTTCTCCTATATTCAGCATTATTCCACAAAAAATGTGCAACTTGTATTCAAACCACATACTGCTTGTGTTATTTGACTGAGATTGGGTTAATTTGATTTTGGCACATGGCTGACATCATCTTCCACTTCTTGACACAACTGACACTTAAATTTTACAGATGTTTCCCCTGTTAATAATTTGCTGTTTTCATTCCACCAATGTTCTCTAACATTTGTGAAGTAATTACTGGTCTCAGAGTGATTGCTACAAATTTTACTGAAAACATAAGGGGTGCAACTTTATTCTCATTTGCCTCATACTGCCACCTGGAGAAAAATATTCCTTAGCTATTGCTTTTAAATATCTTGCACAGCAAGGAATGTGGCTCACCTGTGACCTTATCCACCATGCAGAATTTTGCCAGTCAAAATGAAGTAACAAAAAATATATTTCAAATCATATATATCAAAGTATGTTTCCCACTTCCTTCAGAAAGCCAGTTCTAGAAGTGTCCTTTTATATTATAATAATGATAATTCTTTAAATGGTTTTTAATTTTCTGAAGTTCATCCTCCCTTTACTTTTACTGTTTATATCTGCTCATATAAAAGCGTTCCCTGGACCTGATCATCATTTTTCAGAATGTCCCATTATCTTCTGAAATTGAATCACCCTTTTCACTGCTGGGGTTTATGGGGATTACCAGGCCTGACAAATAACTATATATTTATAAACACATAACTCAGTTTCCTTGGAGAAGGAAGGAACTTCATATTTATGTTTTTAGGGCTCTTCTTGCACTAGGTATTTTTCAGATTTTAAAAGAGCCTTCACCCCAAATGACAATCCTAAAATTCTCTGTAACAGGGTATATGCCAGTAAGCTAATGAGACCATTAGTGGTGGCAGTATTTTCAGACAAATATATTCTATTCCTCTTCTCTGATAGAAGAAAAGTGACAGATGATGCTCATCTATCAGAATATTGGTACTTCTGAGTTGCCATTGACAGGAATTCACTCAGCTGCATCTTCCAAGCTTTTCACATACATTTTTAACTCCAGAGTGTGCTACAGCCCAGGCTCGACTAATGCCATTAGATAATGGTGCTGGCATCTCCCTTTTCAGCCTTGTTCCCCGTGACCCAGCTCACAGGTACACAGCTCTACTCTTCAACTCAGATTACAGACTCCTGCCTTGAGCCCATGATGTGTTCACCTCAGTCCTTGGGGTTGGCCCCCAGCTAATTAACTACAGTCCTGTTACAGTATTTCTCAGTTTGCTCACAGCACGTCATGTCACAGAAAAAAAAGTACAATTTGTTCTACACAGGAGAAAAGCAAATCACAAAGCAAACTGTAATGTGCTTTACAAAACAGAATACATTTCCAGAGACATAATTTTGAAAAATATTAATTAACGTATACATTTCTCATAGTAGGGATTAGATTATATTTGTCTTCTATGAATTCCTTTCACTATCTTTTTCCCTTCACTTTTCTTCCCAGGAAATAGCTCCTCCACTGCAGGTAAGAAGAACACCTATTGTGCATCTAATTAAAATTCTAGTCACAAGCTAATTAGTAAGGTACCAATTAGAATGGTATTAAGGCTTCAGTATATTACAGACATTCCAAAGCAGAAATCCTTCCAAGCGTGAGGTTTCCAGCCTCTGAAAAAGATACTGTGAATGTTTTTACCCATGTTTCAAGCTAAAAACTTTTATGACATTAGTAGTGCTAGAAAGAAATGAATAAATAAATGAAGAATACAGTTTGACTGGAATTATTTTGACTACAATTTCATCTTCATGCTTATCATGTAGTAGAAGCATAATTGATCTATTTTTTAATATACTTTTCTGGTTTATAAAATGTGGGTGGAATATAATATAATATGGATAAGGTGAGAACTAAATCCCTCATTTATCTTTCCCTTCCTGTTGTGCTGTTTGGATTATGAGCACTGCAATAATCTCTCTCACAACAAGTGTTTTTTTTTTTTTGTTTCAGTATTTATAGGGTAAATAATATATTTTAGTAACCCCTACTATATGTCATTCTTTTCATAAATAGTGTATTTCCATTACATTTCCATTTCTTGAGCTATGTCTGTGAATGATAAAAGGAATGCATGCAACATTTAAATCATTAGCTCCAAAAAATCAATCTGTCCTGGTTTAGGCTGGAATAGAGTTAATTTTATTCCTAGTAGCTGGTACAGTGCTGTGTTTTGGTTTCACTCTGAGAATATGTTGATAACACAATGATATTTTAGTTGTTGCTAAGTAGTGCTTACCCTAAGTCAAGGACTTTTCAGTTTCCCAGGCTCTGCTCCCAGTGAGCAGGTGCACAAATGACTGGAAGGAGCATGGCTGACCCAAACTGGCCAAAGGGATATTCCATACCACAGAGCATCTTGCCCACTACATAAACTGGAGACAATTGCCCAGGAAGTGCCAATCGCTGCTCAGAGATGGGCTGGGCTTCAGTCAGTGGGTGGTGACCCACTGCTTCGGGTATCACTTACTTACCTTGGGTTGTATCTCTCCCTGTGTCTCATTATTACCACCTCTCTTGGTCTCACTATTATTATTAGTAGTAGTATTATTAGTACTAGTATTATAGTAATATTTTGCTTTGCTTCAATTATTGTTTGTATCTCAATTCACGAGTTTCACTTTTTTTACCCTGATTCTACCTACCACTGTGGGTGGGGCTGATGGTGGAATAAGCAAGAATTGCATGTGACTTTGTTTACAGCTGGGGCTAAATCCCCACACCATCAAAAGAAGCAGTTGCCTGCATGCCTGGAGAAGGCACTCCCCTCTGGAAAGCCCCACACACGTCCCAGGAGACCGAAAAATTCCTGACCTGACATGTGCACACACAGTTTGATGGGTCTGAGCAGTAGCCCCACTAGCACTTCCACAAATCCCCATCCCATTTTTCTGTGACAGATGAAGTGCCCCAGGGAGGCAGGATACACGCCAGTGAGGAAAACTGCCCACTGAAATTGATTAATTCTGGCATGACAAATGTATTCAAGTTCCACATGATGGTTGTGATGCAGCCGGGTGTTTGAAAAAAGAGGCTCCCAATCCTGTACAGTGACACTTCTG